ATTATTTCCTACGTGTTGAGGTCTCCTCCGACCAATCAGGATATTATCTGTCTCAGGCCAAGTATGCTACTGATCTTATTTCTCGTGTAGGACTCACTGATACTAAGACTGTTACCACTCCGATTGAGCCTAATGCCCATTTTACAGCCACTAACGGTACTCCTCTTAGTGACTGCACCTTATATCGGCAACTAGTTGGCAATCTTGTATACCTTACTATTACTCGTCCTGATATTGCGTATGCTGTTCATATTGTAAGTCAGTTCATGTCTGCCCCTCGCACTACTCATTATGCTGCTATGCTTCGTATCATCCGTTATGTCAAGGGCACTTTGTTTCATGGACTTCACTACTCCAGTTCTTCCTCTCTTCAGTTGATCGCATACTTTGATGTTGATTGGGCCGGTGATCCTACTGATAGACGCTCCACTACTGGTTATTGCTTCTTTCTTGGAGACTCTCTTATATCTTGGCGTAGTAAGAAGCAAACAGTTGTCTCTCGTTCAAGTACTGAAGCTGAATATCGAGCTCTTGCTGACACTACCTCCGAGCTGTTATGGTTACGATGGTTACTCCATGACATGGGACTTACTCATTCATCTGCAACCTCACTTTACTGTGACAATCGTAGCGCCATACAGATTTCCCACAATGATGTATTCCATGAGTGCACTAAGCATATTGAGACTGATTGTCACTTTGTTCGTCATCATGTGCTCGAGGGTACTGTTCGCCTTGTTCCTATCTCTTCCCAGGATCAGTCTGCCGATATATTTACCAAAGCTCACTCTCTCCTCTTCGCTTTCGTGTTCTAGTTGGCAAACTCCAAATGACTGATACATTACCATCTTGAGTTTGAGGGGGGATGTTAGTATTCTATCAAAATTACGACGAACTCTGTAACCCAGCGTTGTGGCCCATAGCTCATTCTTCTCGTGGCGATGCTTTTGATTCATCTCATCACTCAGAAATGGGTGGTGGTTCTCTTGAAGAGGCTCGTCTTCATCACAAATCTTCCATTGCTTCTCTTTGTTTTATTATTTCTGCAATTCCCAACTCCTGGAAGGTAAATCAAGAACCCTAGATTCCTTTGATTTCTCTTTCTTCCAAGATACTACTGGCTTTCATTTCATTTTAGTTGATTTGGTTATAGCAATAGAGGAATTGCCAAGTAGAAAAACAAATCAAACTTACAAAGAAACTCATTAAATCTCTTATGATTCATAAAAACTTGATTACAAGATCGTTAACCTTCATTTACATGATCATTAACCATCCTCCACTAGTGCTTTAGGGAAGTTTTACGGTCTTCAATCCCCGTTGATTGCAATAAAACGCTCGATCGCAGCTGCATCCGAGGCTTTTAACATTAGCTGCATCCAGCTAATGTTGGGTTTTATTTTGGAAAAAATCCCAACCACATTTTTTCCATATTTGCATTTGGAAAAAATCAGAAACCATGGATTTTTCATCAGTTGGGTTTTATTTTGAAAATTTAATGAATAGTGAAGGGCAAATTCGATATTTCATTTTTTCCATTAGTGTTTACTGATGTGTTAATTGTTAGAAAACTTAAAGGTAGCTTAAGACGATATGTAAATAGTAAGGGTACAATTTGTCAATTTCGTGAACAGTAGGGGTAGTTTAAGAGATTTACCCTTATAAAAATTATTTACTATTATACATATAAAAATATGAAATATACATATAAAAATATTTTATTTTACATAAACAAAATAAGAATTATAAGAATTATTTATTATATATATTTATACATATATATGTATTTGTATATGTATGTAATAAAAATTATTTATTTATTATACTAGGCTCGATTAGACTCGTGAACCTCACGAGCCGAGTTTCACTTAGCTTGACCTCGGCTCAATTAGCAAATGTGCCTATATATATCAGGCTCGAGCTCAGCTCGAAACTTAGTTTAAATCGAATCAAGCCGAGCTTGAATAGCTCATGAGAAGCTTGGCTCGTGGCCACACCTAATTCTACGAGAAAAATATATCAAACATGGCAAAAATCTTTGGACCTCTAGTAATCCCTCCTCAGCATCCAACACTTGGACTAGCATTTTAATGATTAGGGAAGACCTAATAAAGGGAGTCAAGTGGTTGATTGGAAATGGCTGGAGTGTGAACTTATTCTCAGACCCCCTAGATTTTGATGACTATGGATAACAAACTTCGTGAGAATCCGTTCCATTATTAGAACATGAAAGTTCCCAGTATCATCTAAGAAGACTTACAGTTTGAGAAAACTTGGAACCATAGCCTAGTTCAACAGCTTTTCCATCTTGCTGAAGCCAAGTTGATTAAATCCATTCGTTTCCCCTTTGCCTTGTGTTCGGGAGGCTTATGCGTCTTACGTTCTAAACTACACCTCACGCCTCTAGGTAGTGGAATGCCTCACATCACGCCTCTGCTGTTTTAAAACAATGGCTGGGTTAAAGAGGTGAAACATTGGTTGCTTCATTAGAGAAAATGATGGATTTCCATAGGTCAATAAAACATGGGTTACTATTTCCTTTTTTATATCAATTAAAAAAATGAGGATAAATTTCTTAAACTACTCTAATTTACACCACTATTCATCAAATTTTCAAAATAAAACCCAACCGATAAAAAACCCTGGTTTCCAATTTTCTCCAAATGCAAATATGGAAGAATGGTGGTTGACTGTGGAACGACATTTACTATCTTTCCAGCCAGGTTGTATAAAACAGTGGTGGCCGAGTTCCCACCGAGGATCAAACGGAACTTGGTTCGTGTTATTACCACGAATCTACGATCACTTGATTGACAAGTTCCCCAAGGTGCCTAAACTAGTCTCCCCAAGGAGGAAAGGGTTTCTAAAAATTGATAATGGTCAAACATGAATCTTCGCCTGAGGATGATTATAAGAGCAAATCCAATGACAAGTTATTACTTCTCTCCATTTCTCTTTCTGTCTGTTGCAGTACACCCTGAAGATACGCCAGTGCATCAATGAGAATCGATCGCTTATCCATCTGTCACCACCACAAACACAGTTGTTTACAACTACAGGAAAAAGAAGAAGAAAGCATACCTTTGTGATGTTGGGAAGTGAAGAGTTGCTTATTCAATTATTTCCTCCGATTGCGTTCTGAAACCAAATTCTTACTATTTATTCCATATTGTTTCTTGCTATCACTTCCTTCTTCCTCTTCTTCGTCCTCCATCTCTCCGGCCCCAGTGCTCCACTGCTCTGTTGCTGTAGAAGTTGCTCTTCTAGTAACTGTTGTTGTTCTTAAGTAAAACTCGATCCTGTTCTTGTTCTTGCACTAATTCCTAGAACGAACAATAAGAAAATCTATTGCTATCTTCTTCTTCACCGAATGCTGGTTGTGGGGTCACGAATATTCATTTTTCTCCAAGAAAGAAAATAGATCTGACTCCTTCTCGTCTACCTTGGGAGGCTCAGCTTCCCACCATTCCTTAAGACCCAAAATCATATCGTTGGCGGCGGTGACATTTCCCGGCCAAAAGTGGACTCCCAATCTTGCATCAGGAATTCCTCCAATTGCTCCATCCCCAACCACCAATTCTATAATCAGATTATAGAGAGTGAACAAATCCCTTGTCTCTCTCTCTCTCCTTCTTTCTTTGTTTTTTTCGGAAAGGGTGGTTGAGACGGGAATGAACTGAAACCTCCCAACGGGACAACAAGGATGAAAATCAGCGTCGAAATTTGCAGTGGAAGTTATATTTCTCCACAACTTTGAGTGCGAAAGGGCAATGTGCGAATGTGTTCTCATCCAAGAAACCAGTGGCCGATACCGGGACTAGCTCCTTCGACCTTCTTCACCTCCTTTAAACCAACTTTTGCCGTTCGGAAGTTGCAGTGGCGGCCATCGCTTGCGTTTTAGACAATTGTCAGAGAAAATTTAAACGGACCTTAAGAAAATAGCTAAACAGTAGTTAGCCAATTTCACAAACAGTAGGGATAATTTAAGAAATTTAACAAAAAAATATGATAAAGAAGAAGAAGAAGGAAAAGAAGTGGTTGAAGGAAAATAACATGTTTTGAAAATTCAATTAATAGTTAAAAGATATTTCTACCTTTCACTTTTTATTTGTTAGAATGATGAATGAACCTTTTGAAAAAGGCAAAATCTATGGTATGGAAAGAGTTTTGATCCATCAAAACCCACCCATGAATTTTGATAAATAACACCCGATTGGCTATCAAGTTTATGAAGGTGCCAACTAGCTGGTTGGTAAGTTCTCTTATTGCCTTATTGGTTATAGCGGAGACATGGATTAGGAATGGCAACAGGGCGGATTTGGGGGTGGGGATCATATTCCCCCTCCCCGATCCCCGTCGGGGATGGGTTCCCTACGAGGACCCGAATCCCCAAAATTTTTTAGATAATAGTATTTATTTGAAAAATAATTTTACTTAAATAAATAAAAATTTTAAATTATAAATAACTTTTTAAATATATTTTGATATATATATATATATATATTATAAAGAATATAATAAATAATATATATAGTATAAATAATATATGTATATATATACATATATACATAATCGGGGTGGGGTCGGGGCGGGACGGGGACCTCAATCCCCATCCCCGACCCCGACCTCGATCATGAATTCCTATTAATCCCCGTCCCCATCCCCACACTCTTAAAACAATATCCATCCCCAACGGGTCAGAGAAATCAAATCTCCATCGGGGACGAAGAAAATTGCCATCCCTAACATTGATCAATTCCCACCTTCACATGTATATGGGTATGGGTTGGGGGTGGGCTTTGATCAAAACTCTTTCCATACCATATTTTTTCTGCATCATAGATTAAGGTATAAATAGCAGTAGGTTATAATAACTATAGATATCCTTTTTTTTTATTTCCCATACTAAAAATATAAATAAGGTTGTGAGGAATGACAACAAATAAGTCCGTGTATCGCACGGGTCCCTCAAGTTAACAACTCAAGCAATCTCAAAACAAACTGGCAACTGGAGAAGAGCCTATCACAGTTCACAGAGCTGAAGCTGATTGATAAGTTCTGGTACTGTTCATTCAGTAAATCTTGTATCTGTCGTGGAAGAAACGAACATTCACGCAGCCATGGACGAAGCTCAAGAAATTCTACTGAACAGTCTCGGCAGCTTGGGTGTTTCTCTTCCTCCGGGGGTTTCTTCGGTCCAAGATCTCAACCCAGGCACATTGGTTTCGATCTGTGCTCAATCGCTTCACCTGATCGACGATTCTTTATCCTTCCCAACGTCCTTACCAGATATAATGGCCGAGCGGTTCAAGATCTGTGCAGAGATTGCTTCGGCCATTAAAGGTGTTGGTTACAGAGGAGATATAAGCTTCAATCAGGTACCTTTTCATGATGTTTGAAATCTCGGTTCAGTATCGGAAGAATTTAGTGAATTTACATTGTTTAAAATGGTGGGACTATGATTCTTAATTCGAAATTTATTGTTAAGTGTATGGAAATGTCCCACCGAATAAGACAATTAAGATAGGCTACTTCTCCCTTTTATCAACAATTTGAACGCATACAGCAGTGAATTCTGTAATAACACTTCGAATCGGGGAAGGGAAGTAAATCTAAAAATTTTTTCACTAAAGTATACGATATGATTGCTTTACTTTATAGACTAATGGAAGGACAGACATACAAAAGAAAGGAGTCTCTTTTGCACCTTATAGGTATAACCTATTGCGGTAGACCATGTTATCTTGTATTGAGCGGATGCATTAGGTCAAGAAGAAAACTTATATCGGACCTAGGCCTAGTGTGCTATTTGAAGCATAGTGGTTTGTGACTTCGTGTTGCTTACTTAGTTCCCACTCTGTTATTTATGTTCTATTTGTTTTATTTATTGTTGGAAAATTACAAACTTCTCGGGAACTGCCAAAACCCTTAAGTCCTGAGGGCTACCATTAATTTCCACTCACTCGATTCCAATGGCTGTGCCTATTCATTGATGGTCATTGTCTCTGACTATTCAACTTATGCTGATAATCCCTATGGAGGAACAACTGCGCTATGATACCAAAATACTTACTACATGCTTACTGTACTTCTGTGGTTATGCCAGGAAAGATATATGCTTCATGCGACACTGGATATGATTGCCTTTACTTAGTTAACCCAAAATGTCTTTTACTCTGCTTTCAATTTACTAAAAACCCTTCCTCTACTAAGCTATCTCCTCATGAATATTACTTTTCTGAGAAGAAGTTTACTTTCATTAAACAAAAAAGGGAAGGTTTTACAGGATATATAAGCAATACACCTTACCAGAACAGCCCCCAAAAAAATACCTCCCAACATTTACAAAGATAACAAAGAATCACTATAAAGGGGTCCCTGCCAACCCCAGATTTTGCTAGAGCATCTACCACACCATTCAGCTCTCTTGGGATCCACCTGAAATAACAAATCACTAAAAAGGGAAGGTTTTACAGGATGTCCTCTCTCTTTTCTCAGGACCAGTGGGAACGGGGAACTCAACTAGAGTTGAGTTGCTAGCAGTTTTTCAGGGAGTTCTTACTGCAAATGAGCTGAAGTGGAGAACTTGATGACCGAAGGTGATTCTATGCTGGTAGTGGGGTGATTGAAAGATCCGGAATCTGTAATATGGATACTTTAGCTAAGCATGGTGTGAATAGCGATCTGTTGTATTGGGCTCAATTGTAAGCTCATATTGTTTTTATTGTGAGGGGAGAGGTTACATCTCGTGCCTCTCCTAGAGATACTTGTACTGGATATGACTTTGGTTAATAAAATTCATTTTATCTATCTAAAAATAGATGAGTAAAATCTCCAAGGCCCATCCTGCAAATTCTTTATCCAGCTGATAACAATCCTAGAATCTCCTTCCACCACCACTGAAGAAATGTTCAGAGACACCATGGTCCTCGGACCCACCAGCAAGGCCTGAACCTCTGCTTCAACAGCTTCTGCCTCTCCAATTGGTTCACTGAAGGCCCAAACTAGATCCCCAATATAATTTAGAATCCTGACCCCTGAGGCTTGACAGACTAACATAACCGCGATCAAACTGGAGAATGTACTCAGTTAAGGGTCTTGGAACCAATGAAGCATTATGAGCAGCAGCCGTGCATGAAGAACTCAGAACCTGCCCCCAGTTTCTTTCTAAATCTCCTATAGAGATGCCTCTTAACTGCTTTATAGTTGTCATCCAGGAGTTGACTCGGAAAATAATTTTCCCTTTTAGATCTTCCAAAGAGGAGCATTTGTCTTCAAAAGTTCTTTTATTATGCCTCTCCCAGATACACTACCACACAGCATGGATGACAACCTTCCCATATAGAAATCCTCTTTTACCCATTTTGCACTCAGCCATCCTCCTGAGTTTTTTCTAGGCATAAACAATAGTTGATCTTTCTCTCTCTCAAGAGTTCCATATAATGTATTTGAAATAATAGTTGATCTTTCTCTCTCTCAACAAAGGTAACAAAATTGACAAAACCAGTGATTTAGAAAATAATGTTTAAATCAGTGAAAGACGAAAAATACTTTTTTGGGAGACAAAATTAGCCCTGTAAAAAATTTAAAGGGACCTACCTATCTTCATAAAGCTAACAAATGCAGTAAATAATTCTGATTTGTCAAAAGCTGTAAAAATGGTGAGCCCCCCTGCTTTAGCACTTCATTTAGCTAGGAAGAAAACTGTAAAAATGGCAAGTCCCCTACTAGCATGTAATTTTAAGAACACAATGACTACTCTCTCCATAACTAATATTGATCAGGTTGATCACTGGTAAATTTACCAAAACCCATGAAATCCTAGCTGAACATGAAACTCTACAGATATCATCTTATGGTTGTGGTTGCTATTCTTCTCTTCCATTGATGCTTTTTTTTTGAATTGTTGGTCATGGTCACCAAAATCCAAATGTGGTTCATGGGGTTGATATGTAAGGTGGTTGCAGAACAGATAAAGTGGAAGCTTATCTATTTACTTTCAAACTGAGAAACAGTCAAAAGAATCAAGTATTCACCAATCTATGTTGTGGTTGTGGCCTTACAGTCTGTGCATGACTCTGTTATCTCCCGTTATCTCTGGCCTTCCCATTGTCTTCTATAAGCAAGAAACTTTTCAAAATACTTGTTTTTCTCAATCAGTCTCATCAAATTGTAACAGTAAAATTCTGATTGAATCAGTTTCCTATTGTCTAGTTTCTAGTTTTCTAGTAACTGTAAACTGACATTCTTTATTTATACTTCTGGACATGGAATCAAGTATCCCCCATTCTTCATTGGTTCTCTTTTTACCACCTCTTCCTTTCTTGGATTTTTCCTATTGAATAAAGAGAACAAACATGGATTATCAGTTTATATATCAACGTAGCATGTCTCCTTATGCTCAATCAAGATGCTTTTTTTAAGAAGTTGGGCCCCTACCAATAGGGGTGCAACTTGGGTCGGCCCAACTCTAGCCCAAAGGAATATGCATGCATGCTTGCATATATTAAAAATATATAAGATTCCTATTTAATGGTTCAAATTACTGGTTCTAAATGGGTTTTTGGACAAATTTTCAATACATTGGGTTGGGCCTAATAGGCCTGCTTGATCTCAATTGACCAACTTGAGCCCAACCCAATTGTGTCAAGTTTCTTTTCAAGCTGGTCCTGGGTTGGACAGATAGGTCTTGAGCTCGGGCTCAATCCAGTGGTGGTCAAAGGTCTCTCGAAGTTTAAAGGAAAAGGGGTTAAGGAAGACAAAAATGGTCGAACCCCTGGAGGGACTGCACTACATCCCCTCCAGTGAGGGATCAGGCCACTGTAGTTCTCCACAGTTTGCCAATGACCTCAGAGAAGGAAGAGGAGAGAAGCTGAAAGAGAATATAGGAGGGAATGTCGATGGTGCAAGAGAAAAGGGGAGGAGAGGAGAGAGATCTGGATCCCTCATCTGTATTTGGGTCTTGGGTCCCTGTTTGGGCATGGGACCCCTATTTATATTTTCCTTAATAAGATGTTTCTGGAATCTCCTAATACATGCTTTCTTGGGGTAATTATTAGACCGAGTCGAATACACTTAACTGGGTCTATGGTGGTCTGCAAGTCTATGCTACAAAGCTTAGGCCTTAAGACCCAATTGTTAGGGTTGAGCTTGGGTTGACCTTAAGCCCAACTCAGCCCTCCCAAGTTGATAGGGCATTTTTAACGCAAGCCCATGCATCACATTGGTCCCTTCTAGTATATTAACAAATAATGGGATAATCATGCTTGTATCGATAATTCCATATTGAAGATCTTAAGAAATGGGGAGTTGTATCCATATTTTTCACATCTGTATCCATGTCTGTATCTATATCTGAGCATCTTAGCAATGCTTCTTCAAAAGACTGTGATGAAAGGGAAGCACTGGATGTGATGCAGGAGCATGCCAGTGCTTTAACCCTGAAAAAAAGTTGGTTTAGACTCACAAATCAGTCCCCAAATAAGCCACTAATTACCTTCAAAAGCAAGAGAGCTTTCCCTATATAAAGGGATTTACTAGTCTTTTTATTGGTTAAAATGAAAATTTGTTGTCCAAAAAAAACACTGAAAATTTTATGGACTAAAGTATGCGACATATACATTAAAAGGATAGATTCCCAATTTTGTTAGGCAAGTCAGTGTGACCTAACCCCATAATTTACAAGTTGCATTATCATTATAATAAATTTTCCCAAGATAGTTGAATTTTTGTTCAGCCCTCATTTGGCTAACAAATCAGCCAAACAGTTTTCTGACCTTGGAACCCATTTGAGTGCATATCTTAGTTCCCTTTGCTGAGTCAATAACTTCCCTCATAATGTGCCTATATATATATATTTACCAGAAAATAAATTCATTTATTAATTTAAATAATTGAAATTAAGTTACAACAATACCCAAAATAAGGATGGTCTATCAGCTCCCTTCTTGGCTAACACATCCACCAACCCATTTGCTTCCCTTTTAACCCATCTAAAAGTAGAGTTAAATTTCTTTGCAAGTTGGTCAATCTGTCTAAAAGTGAATCTGAGTTTCCAAGGTGCTGACTCGATTTGCTTTGCCCATGTTATGATCAGAAGGGAGTCTCCTTCATTTTCCAACTCTCTTGTCCCTAATTGTTCAGCAAGCTTCAGTCCTTGCAACAGTGCTTTTGATTCAGCCTGAATCGAGTAACCAAAACCAATTGGTCCTGAGAACAAAGCCATTACTACTCCTTGATGGTTTCGAAAAACTCCCCCTATTCTTGCTCTTCCTGGGTTGCCAAAAGTACCATCAAAGTTTAGTTTCAGTTTATTTAGACTTGGAGGTTTCCACTCCATTCTTATAATTTCTCTATGTGATTCTGAGAGCGCCACTTC